TTATAGGATAAGAATAATTTATTCGCTCGGTCATGTGTTTGCGAAACGTCGCGCACGCCTCGCACATTGCAATATCGCGAGTCAACATCGCCGTTCCCCCCCCCCCCCCTCAAAGCGCCTACTCCGCGCCCCAACGTCCGACGGCGGAGTTAATTAAATCTAATTCGGGAAATTCATCAAATTGTCGCCGCTGAAAATCCGGTATTTCGCTAGAACGTCACCCACTCGCGAGGACAGGGTGGTGCGAGGGAGAGAGAGAGAGAGAGAGAGAGACGGAGTGCGGGAGAAGGAGGGACGGGGGAAGTGAGGGTGAAATATTCGCGTGGTTTCCGCGAAAGAGAAACCGCCGCGTCGCGCGCCGCGCGTATCCGGCCGATCTGTTTTTCCCCCGCGGCACGTCAAACCGCTCCCCTTTTCTCTCCCTTCCCTTCGGCACTTTTTTTCAGCACGAGCTGGCGGTTCATACGCTGTACGTGACATCGGCGGGAATATATATACGTTATCCGGTCTGGAGCGAGCGAGCGAATGTAGCGATAGCGTACGAAAAGCTTGGCTCACCATTTGCCGGCGCGCGAGCTCGAGAAAAAAAAATTTATTATTCGTTAGCGATCCCCCGATAACCCGTACCGCGGGGGAGGGAGAGGGCAGGGGACACGCGAATCCGTTTGTGCCGGCCGACGCAGGAGTGAAAATTCCAAATCCTTCTTTTCCCCCCTCGCCGCTCGGCCGCGCGGCTCCGGTGACCCACTTTTCCGCGTGTAGTGCGTCGATCGATGAAATTCGATTCCGCGATCGCGCGTCCGGCTGTCGACGTCGACGCGTGCATTAAATCGAGTCTAACGACTCGAGCCGGGCATAAAATGCCGGCGAGATCGCGCAACGCGACGACAGCGGAAATGATTACGAAGCCTCCTGCCATCCGCTGCGAGAATTAACGTTTCGGAACCGCTCGCTTGGAAATTCCTTTTACGAGCGCTTTCCGTTTGGATTTTCCGAAACGCACTTTTCGATTTTACGCGGGTGCGCGCGATCGGTCGTTCTATCCTGTGAGTTTCAGCACGCTTTTCAGCGCTCCTGCCCAGTAGCCAGGATTGTCAGAGCAGAAATGATTGTCTCGTTAGGCTAGACCAGTGATTTTCAACCGGTGTGCCGTGAGAGGATTTAAGGTGTGTCGCGAAAATTTTTAAGAATTTTAATTGTTATCTTTTTATCACGAATTATAATAAATTGTTTTGTTTTATTTTTTGACGGCGTGATGGTGCATTTTGTTTGTGTTAATAAATAAATAAATCAAGAAAAGGTATATATTCCTTTCTATACTCTTTTGTTTTATCATCATAATTTAAGTGTGCCGCGGAAGTTTAACTATATATATATATATATATATATATATATATATAGGTTCAAGTGTGCCGTGAGATAAAAAAGATTGAAAAACACTGGACTCATTACACGGACGCATTGCGAAACCGTTGCGGAAAACGTTGCGGTCTCGATCTTCTCATCTACGAACGACACCACACGTGCGACACGGGCCGCGCTCGGGCTGCTTACTCGGAGATGTAATGACATCTCGGAGATTTTTCCTGAATTTTATTTATATCACATATCTGTTGATTCGTACGTTACCTATTACCTATTATACAGGGTGTCTCGGAAGCTAAGTAATAATCTCCTCCCTCCAGAATCTCGCCGAGTTGAAATTCACTCGAAATTGCTGAGAAATATTCTCGGATGGAATTAAGGTGGCAAGTTCGGAGAGACGAGATGCCGCATAATACATAACATGTAAATAAATAGGTATGTAATAAGTAAGGTATATATTTATTAAACACCGCGCGCGTCTCGCGCGCTCGCTGCTTAGCATACATTACACTTTGTATACGTTGCCTCAAAAGCGTATTTGAGAGGTGCGTGTATGCGCGTTATGTAATATTATTCATTCCTCGAGAGGCAGGCGAACTTTGCGCGGATACAATTAACTATCATAAATATCAACTCCGTTATTGTTCAAACTGTCAAAATATGTAATCTCCGCCGTCAATCATCTTTAGGACGCGGAGTGAGCTCTAGTAAAATCGAACTCTGAGATTTCTCCAAGTTTCGACTCTCGACGCACCCTCCCCAAGGAAAGGAAACCTTTCGGGCCATGATCACCGAAACAACTCGACGGACGGAGAATCACCGTCCGTCTCCAGCATAATTTTTTGCCCCTAATTATCATAAACTCGTTGCCCCGACCGAATATTTACGAAGCGTGACCGAAAGTACGCCGAGAGAGACGACGACGACGACGACGACGACGAGGAGAAGGACGTGGACGCAGCGGTGCAAAATGTGTAACACCTGGATGTAACCTAGATGACCATATGATTAGAAACAGGCGGGGAACAAAGCTTCCGGCCGCCCTCTTCGGCGTCGTCGTCTATTATTTGCGACATGAAGCGTAACATTATCGAACCGTGCGCGCGCGCGCCGGCTATGAATTCATTCGCTGAACTCCGCCGTATATTTCAGTGCATTTTTCTTGTGTCGGCTGCGTCCCCTTCCATACGAGCCTCGAATAAATGGCCGCGATACGCGCCTCTGCAAATAGAAGCGAAGAGAGCCGACCGTGGATAGAGGCGCCTCTGCATCCGGAATTATGATCGGTTCGTCCGTGATATACGCTCGATCATAAATGTTTCATGCGCGATCGTAAAAAGCAAGACAACCCGCGACCAGGGTAGACCTCGCGTCGACTACGCGTCGACGTGCTTATCGTTGCGAGCGTGTAATCGCGCGCGCGTGCGCGCGCGAGCAACGACCAGACTCTCTGCTTCGCGTGTAGTCGCTCGCTATTCCATCTATTTTTCGCGATAGGTTCGTTTATGGATTCGCGAGAGAGCCCATCGCGTTTTTCGTTATATTTCTTTGGTTAAATAACGCGTGCGGAACGACGGACGCGTTCATGTTCAATCAAAACGGGGCTTTATTCTCGTCGGAATACGGCTCTGCTCTTCGAGAGATGTAACATGCCGATACCTCTCTCTCTCTCTCTCTCTCTCTCTCTCTCTCTCTCTCTCTCTCTCTCTCTCTCTCGGCTTCCTTCAATCTTGGAACTTGAAGCGTTTCGCGTCCGATCTACGCATTTCGCCGTTCAGAGGCTCGTAAAGTTTCGTCGATTTTTTAGCCGTACATTAACGGCGTAACATTTCGGAAGAAATATTTATATAGTGTCATGAATATTTATTAGACGTTTATTCTCAAGTAATTGCCTGTTGTGTCGTTAATAAAAATAACAACGGGACGAGATATTTGTCAAAGAATTATTTTCGAGTGATTGTTTGAGAGATATTTCTTGTTTCTTCTTCTTATTTGTTATGATTATTGTCCGGCTCCACGTTCGTAACATGATTCATCTTCCGAGCCCTTGGGCGACCGGACGATCTTCTCCAGCCGCCCGACACTTTTACGTGACGATGGGAAGAAGCGAAGAGAGGGAAGAAGAAGATAGAATTCCGTGTTCTCGGACCTGGGTGAAAATTTGAGACACATCGCGATGTCCGTGACGTCTCTGTTATTTCGGTCGCGCGTTTCGCGCGACTGAAATTTTCACGAGGACAGTTCCCGGCCCAGCAGCCTGTGCGAAAAGTTTATGCAGCGTCTTTTATATTTCCTCCCTCCCTCCTATCGTGAATCTTTCACGAGGCGCGAGGCATCTACGATCGCGCAAACGCAAATGACAGGCTCGCGCGCGAAAGTGCGGAACACGCTGCCGTCTGCCGTTCATTTTTGATCGGACACGTATCCGGCTCTTCCTCGGAACCGCTGTCAGGAAACAAAGACGGAGCATCGGATGTGGGAAATATGGCGCGTATCACAATTACCCAGGTTCCAAGCGGCATGAAGAAGTCACGAGACGGCGATTCGGCCCCGTCGGGATCCGCCGGCTCCGTCACGTGACGGGCTTCAATCCGATGTGCCCTGTGGATTCCTTGCGGACGGGATTAATAATGGACAACGCTAGGCTAGGAATAATAGCGCATTGCCCGCGCTGCTGAATATTGCACGCCGACGTCCGTACGATACGACATCTCAGCGTGTCGAGCGCGCGACTTTCCGCGCAACGGCAGAGGCGCAACGCGACGCGATCGCGCCTGAGTTTTCCCCTTGATTTGCGGTCCGAGAATAACGGTCGATCGAGGCAAAGACACAAAGAAGACCGAGTTGGAATCGTCACGAATCGGTAAACCGGGTTATGGTTACGCGCCGCGGATATCGCGTAATGCCATTTGCGCGTCGATACTCGCAGAGTTTGCAGATCCGTCTCGCCGAGATCCGTCGAGATCAGCGATCGATCCGCGCTCTCACCGCCTATTATTGCCGATTGCACGACAATCGGCACGGAACGTCGATAGCAATTTTCCGAATCGGGATTACCTCCCTTCGTGGCTCTCCTCTCTCCTTCTCTCTTTTCATCCCCCCGCTCGATTTCTTCGTCATTTTTCCAGCTAGGACAGTCGGATGCGAAGACGGACCGTCTCCATATCCCGAGGGACATCGACAGCAATTTTTCCAGTCGCGCAATCGTCTGCCCCTCGCCCCCCTGCCCACCCCCCGCCGGTTTATCTCTTAATTATTTTCCCAGCTGGAAATCCCCCATTTTCCCGGTCATCAGACGAGATATTACCCCGCCCGACTTGTTCGCGTCTCGACGGACACGCGACTCGTGAAATTGCACCTCTCTCTCTCTCTCTCTCTCTCTCTCTCTCTCTCTCTCTCTCTCTCTCTCTCTCTCTCTCTCTCTCTCTCTCTCTCTCTCTCTCTCTCTCTCTCTCTCTCTCTCTCTCTCTCTCTTTCTTTTTCCCCGTCTCTAGAGATAATTATCGAAATTTTTCCAACTCATCGCCCGGTGTCTCTCGTTTCCTCCGCTTCTTTTCTCCGTCTATTTCTCTTTCATCAATTTCTTATGACCTACTCGCTGCGGATGCTCTCGCGAACGGTAATCGTCTACTCACTTATGCAAATCTGCGCGGCGAGTCAGCAGCTCCGGGCTCCGGGCTCCGGTCTCCGGCGGGTATCCACGGGGATCACGGCGATCGGGTGCGAAGCCGACCAAGTGGACGGAGCGCGTGTGGCGCGAGATCGACAGAGCGCTCGACCGCTCGCGCGCGACTAAAAGTGCGAGTCGTTTGAGCCGAATCCGAGGAACGATCGGGAGAACAGGAGTGACGATCGGCGGCGCCGCGAAACGTTTACCGCCTCCTCGCGTTCACTACTCCGCGGGACCAGCACATACTGGCTGACCGTCGTCGACGTGAAGGTGGCCTTCTCTCTTTCTCTCTTTCTCTCTCTCTCTCTCTCTCTCTCTCTCTCTCTCTCTCTCTCTCTCTCTCTCTGTCTCTCTCTCTCTCTCTCTCTCTCTCTCTTTCTCTCTGTTTCTCTTTTTCTCTCTCTCTCTCTCTCTTTCTCTCTCCTCCTCCACTTGCTACGTGAATGTTTCCACCGTCATGCCGAACTCGAGCTCTCGTGCGCCCCCCTCCCCCTCATCGCCGCCCCACCTGCCGCCGTCGCCGGACAATTCAGAGAGGAAGAAAGTAGGCTTCGCCTGACCCTTCTTATTCCGTGAATCGACTTCACTATTACTCGCCGCGAAAAAGACCCTGGCCGATCACGAACAAGCGAATGAGCGAGCGGACGGACGGACGGACGGACGGCCGGCCGGCTCCGATGTGCTTTCCACCAGGTGGAAAGTTACGCGCTCGCGATATCAGCGTGCCGGAAAAACGCGATCTCTCGCGGCGGCGCGAGTCCACGTGTGCGTTACGCGGAACCGCCTGAATTTCATATACTTGCACTAGATCGCGTTCAGCGGTCTCGCGGACTACTACTGCTACTACTATTCCTCCTTCTCCTCCTCCTCGTTCATCCCGCTCATCTTGCCGCTGCTCTTCGTTTCGCCGCTCGCGCTGATCCTCGCGCAATGACGCGAAACTCGCTCGCGCTTCGATCAGGCTCTCGTTCGTTGGATCGTGTTAAGAGGCTTAATGGTGTGACGAATGTCCTGCGCGGCGTGTGCGCCATTTCTTCGGACGACGATTTCCTTCCGGCCGAGCGCGACTTTCCATTTTCAGTCGGGACCTCTCTTCGGGCTGCCGGTATTTGCGACTCTCCGCCGACGTGTGCCGTATTCAGTCGAAAGTCCGAGAGTCGATATTTTTCTTGTTTTTTTTTTTTTTTCGGAAATCGAGCATCAGGAGCACTAATCTCCTAGCGAGAAACGCTCGCGAAGGTGAGGAGAGACGCGTAGCGGAGAAGCGCTCGCGCGCGGAAAGTCGATGTACACGCTGATAAAGAAGAGGAACACATTGACGCGCCATCGCGAAAGTTCGCTTCTCCCTTTCGGCGAAGTTGCCCGTGAGTGAGACGATTATCGTAAATCAGGCCGCGAGGGTCGTAAGGAAGAGATTCGCGAGGCTCGGGGTCGCGCTCGTAACGCGCTTAATTGCGAAGGTCACGAGAGAATTACCGCAAGCGGATAGCGCCGGCGAGGATGGGCGCTGCCCGAAGGATCGATGTTCGAGGAACCGTCGTGTAATTAACGTACATAGATACCACCTCCGCACCTTCGAAATCCGTGTCGTCGCCGGTGGCCCGTGTTAACCGCGTAACCGGCCGACTTTTCGGCGCGGCTCGGTAATTAAGCGCCTTCGAGCCCGCAAGCAGATTCGCGGCGGCGGCGGCGGCGGCGAGAATAGCCTCGTTGTTATTCGCCCGCGAAGGCGATGTGAGGCAATCGGACGAGCGGCGGAGGTAGATGAATGGGCGTAGATAAGAGCGTTGATGAACATTCTAGCCTCAAAGAACTGATGTTTGTTCGGGCGAACGTCTGATGTTGAGAAGTACGGCAGAGAGAAAGGGTAATGTAAAGAACGTGACGTATGCGCACGATGAAAAGTATCGAGGTGAACGTGAAGAGATATGCACGGAGGAGAAAAGGGAAAGTAAAAATTGACGTTGAGAAATAACAGTGCGAGAAGAAAAGAACAGACGATAGAAGAAACGAGAGACGAGGACAAGTGCGGTGGCAAGAATAAATTTAAGAGACAAAAGAGTAGAATAAAGGGAGCGGCGAAGAAGAGTAACGCGAGAAATTAAATAAATACGAAAGAGAAAGGACAAGAAGGGGGAGGAGAGATAAAGTAGATATTTGCTTTGTCTGGAACAAAATCCATTTGACACACAGCGTGAGTCTCAATTCCGAGTTGACGAAAGTCCTCGCAAACGAGCGGCGGCTGCGCCAATTGTACAATATTGAGGCGCATATCTCTGAAGACAGCGAGAGAAACAAGAGACATGAATAATGGCGAAGGAGAAAAAATGAGGAGGAAAGGAAAGTTAATAGAAAAAGAGAGAGAGAGAGAGAGAGAAACGGAAGATCCGCGTTTCCCCTTGAAGAGAAAAGCGCACGTTAATTGCGTCGATTGCCGAGTACCGGCCGCCGACGACCGGAATTATGACACCACCGTGTCTCATTAAGTTACACCTAAGGTACAATCAATCACATTGGAAACAAATGGCGAGGCGAGGCACACACGGTGGTGGACGATCGCGCGCGTCACTCTGTCGGCGCTCGAGTGGAGACTCTCCTCGAGACATGCGTCGCAAATTGCAGCCGCAGATTCCGCAGCTCGCCACCCCCCCCCCCGCCCCACTCGTCTCCCCCGCGAACGCTTTTCGTAATTTGCGCGACTTTTCTCCCGCGAGTTAATAACTCTCGCGCTCGCGCGGCAGCATGTGCGTGCGCTACGCGTGCTTATCGAGTGGGGGGGGGGGAGCGGAAAGAGAGACGTCACGTGCTGTACCTCGGCCGCGAATGACAAGCGGTTTATGATCATTAGCGTGAAATTCGATTCTCCAGCGAGTAATGACGGGACGATCTCGCGCGCGCGTCCTGTGCGAGAAGACGGATATGGACGGCGAGGTGGAGGGACAGATTGAGCGGCGAGAGAGAGAGAGAGAGAGAGAGAGAGAGAGAGAGAGAGAGAGAGAGAGAAGGGGAGAAACGGAGATGCTGAGAAAAGAGGGGCACGACTGTGTGTGTTATGACATAATTGCTTAAGAAAGTTCGGAATGCGAATGCGCGCACGCACACATGCATACACGCACACGCAGCATCTCGAGCGGAGAAGTAGTCCGTGCCGTTACGTTCGTTTCGCAAAACTCGTCGCCGCTCGGCGCGTAGCGCTGCGTGGCGCCGCGTTAGAATCGCTGGTTTCTTCGCTCGCTTTCCTCTTTTATACGGAGATGTATAATTGTATCATGTGAGTGTGTGTGTGTGTGTGTGTATGTGCGTGGTCCTCGCGCTTGTCTTCAGACTTTTTGCGCCGTCGATGACCTTCCCCCACTTCGCGGCCGGAGGTTTTTAACCTTTCCGGTACCGGACGATGCCTCTTAAAACCGTGCGATGAGAATTGCACACATATTTATTGATTAATGGATGATCCTCTGGAGGATTTATTAATTAATCCTGGAGGATGCTATGAGAGAAAAGCACACAAAGTAAAAGCAAGGTAACGTAGGAAATATCAGAAAATTGATAAACGCGAACTCGGTGATAAAAGTCTCGCGCAGCAAAATCGCGACGTAGTGCGAAACGAGAGAGGTAAATTGGAAATGAAAAATAACCGGGAATTAACTCGATTAACAAACTTGGTCGAGCCGTGAACGAGCAGCTCTACGGCGGTACGATGATACAAATCCAGTTCTTTTAATACAATGTGCGATTAACTGACGAGAAAAATTTTTACTGAATAATATACCATGTCGCGCAACTGGGATATTACATTCGTAATATTGAAACTCGAATTTATACATTACACGAAACAGCAGTCGATTAATGCAGTTTGTTGTAATTAAAATTATATAATTAATAGCCTGTTCGGACATCTCTTTGATTTCGCAATGTAAAAATTTATACCGTGTACACGAGACGATTTCGCATTTCTACCCTTTCAGATATTTCAAACAACACAAACACATCCTGGCCGGACAAAAGTCGGTGTATTACTTTCCCAGTGTGTACGGGTATTGATAGCTCAGTGGAAAAGTTCTTTCCGCGTTGGATACGCTGTGCTCAACATTGCGTTTTCACGAACACGATGCGCGAAGCGCATCAGCTTTCCTCGAGGATGTCGATGGTGTTCTTGCGGTCTCGCCTTTTCACGAGGATTTTATCGCGGAAACTCGCAAAAACACTATATATATTTCTTGCGACGCTCGCTATTGAGTTATTAATCTTCGAGAGCCAGTGAACAAGTGAAATAATCCAATTAAATGCACGGAGGTTGTGCAAGAGTACTTGATTCACGACGAGCGAAACGCACGCGCTCGAAGGAGCACGCTCCTCCCCCGCGCTCTTGAGAAATAACCGATCGCCTGGCGACATGAAGGCCTCTTTCACGGGATTTGTCTTTCCGGCGCTCACACGATCATTTTTGCGCCGACTTCTCGCTGGAATTGCCGCGACGTCTCGCCGTTACGACCGCTCTTAGCGGACGTGTCGGTTTAGCCTCGTTCGCCGCAGCCGTCGCCTGTCGCGGAAAAGCCGCGGCTCGTTATTCCTCCCGAAGAGAGAAGAGAGAAGAAATCACCCACGTTACAAATCGCCAAAGATATTTTTGTCACATTTCGCCAGCTGCACGGAGCTTCAGCTGAGCCAGGATCACGCCAGGAGCAGCACATTTTACCGTGTCGGTCCTCCGGGCTCGACGCGAACCGCGCGAACTGATGAGACACGCACGCACGCACGCACACACACGCGCGTACGCACACAGCCCGATATGATTAACCGGCGCGAAACGCGTTCATTTTCGTTTCCGGTTCGGCACGACCAGTTAACAGGTTTAATCGCTGGCCCGTGCGAAACGAGGTTTACAGGGAAAAGGTAAGACAGGCCGAGCTATATTCCACGGGCCGTTGCTCCTCGTAACCAGAGTCCGGCTCGCTCGTTCGTCGTCGTCGTCGTCGTCGTAACCGGCACATCGTGCGGCAAAGTGCACGATTGCGGTGCAAAATAATTAAACATCGGTTTACAGTGTTACGGTGCCGGGCCGTTCCGCCGTGATTGCGCGGCAATTCCGTAAACGGCGCCCGACCGCGCCGTAAATCGGCGATTCCGCCGTTGGAACGCGCGATTTCCGGTCAGGAGAGTGCGGCTCGATTTCGGGCTTCGATCGTTTGACCAGTCGATTGTAAAGGTAACAAGAGAGGAATAATTGCGTTTCTTTTTTGTCACTCGCGCGCGAGTGACACCGGTTGCGTGAACGAAATCCGTTGGGCGAATTGGCCATGCGGTGATTGATTCAATCTTAAAATGTTTTTTTTTATATTATATGTACACGTTTTATATTATGTATATACACACACATATATACACATATCTTAAGTCTTAAAATTTTCTTTTATATTAAATTAATTTTTTATATTACATCTTTATTATTAAATTTATATTTTATATTAAATTTTTTATTAAATTTGTTTATATTATATATACACACATATATACACGTGTATGTATACAGTGCGAAAATATATCACGTCGAAAATAAAAATTGCACCTTAAACAATAATCTCCCTCGACGTTTCCGCCAAGGAAAAATTGTTTCCACATTACTTCAAAGACTTTGGTCAAGTTAAAATTACAGTTCCGACATAATCCGTAGGTACATACGCAAGAAAGAATGTTGAAAGTTCTATCGTTAAATAACATTTAATTCGCAAGAAGTAGCAGAATAAGCGAGCTCTCACACGCGCGTTTCGCTTATCGCAAATCAAGCATCTTCATAGTTGCTTGCATTCTCCTTAATTCAATGCACTCTGTTTAAAGTAACTTTCAAAGAAATGATCCTAGCAGTGCCGTACATTTAGTTTTCCTGCTGTGAGTTATGCTATAATAGTTAAACGCTAGGAACTAAAATAACAGTGTACAATAAAATCCCTGATGAAAGTTGATCCGTTTCGCGCTAATTTACTTTCCTTACGCGCTAAGAACATTCATCCCGTATGAATAAATAAGTAAATAATCGTTATCGCCATACATCAGCCTGAATTAATTGTGCGTGAAGAAAAAAGTAAAATAAGAAGCGGCTCCTCGATAGAAACAGAATTCGGAGAAAGTCATCACGAAATAAAGGCACTCCGCTTTCGGATTGCCAATGTAGTGTGAAAAGGTAAAATCGTCGTCGATCTTCTCCACGGCTTGCTTTCGCGGCCCGCGAGCGAAACCGTCTCGCACGAAGACAACGGAGATTCGATACTTAACGAGCATACACGTGCGCATGCGTGTAGCAGCGACGTTAATTGAGTTACGCATCGCGCGGTGCGTTCGGGCGACTCGACGTCGCACGCGACGTCGTAGGCCTTGTTTCACCGTCGCTCCTCTCCTCCCGTTTCTTCTCCTTTTTCTCCCGTTTTTTCGATCCTCTTTTTCTTTCAAAACGTCTCTCCTAAGTGGACCGAAGAAATCGTTTATCGGCGGCGGAAGTGGGTCGCGACCGAGCACGAGCGCGTGTCTTCGCGAGATGCGCGATTAATTAACCGAATAAAGACGTCTTGAGGTAACGTCTTTGGGAGATTATCGAAAGACGTTCTCCACATGTTCCTCGGATCTCTCGGATTCGGACGTCGTCGAATTGTCGTCCGTGGGACACTTTCCGGAGCGTGTGTAGCTCTCTACATTATAGGCTACGGCATTAATATCTCTATCTGTGCTCATTTTTTGTGAATTATATTTTCATCGATGTGCATGTAAAAAAATGTGACATAGCGTCACATTATTCGCGTATTATTGGCCGATTATGAGAAAATTTGTGTTTTGCTAGCCAGACATAATCTACTACATTTTATATTCGTGCAATATGATAAAAAGTGAAAATGCACTTTATATATCCATAAATCTAACTATAAATTAGGGACCTTAAGTCATAAAATGCTTCTTGAGCCATGCTCTTATCATTAGTTTCTCCAGTCATAAGTTATGCTAAATTTTGCTTATGTTTCTCTAATGTACAATACCTTTAAGTTAAGTCGTGTCACGCTATTTTAAAACGGGAGACCATGGATCAGAGCACAGACTTCTGCATAACGCATAATACACAACGCATAAGAGAATCAACCAATCAGAGTTCTTCATTTCTGTCCTGAGGAGGGAAATGAAGGAAACTAATTGGTTGATTCTCTTATGCGTTGTGTACTATGCGTTATGCAAAAGCCTGTGCTCTAGCTCTACTACTACGAGCTCGAATCTTAGACAAAGATGGTGGCGACTCGTAGCGGACATTTTGGAACTAATAAAAATAACGGGGGCTGTATTCCGTACCTGCATATCGACAGTTGTCGGTGTCGTTAGTAGTATTGCACAGCTTTTTTGTTATATGAAAAAACTGCGCAATGCCGCTAACGACACCGACAACTGTCGAATTGCAGGTACGGAATACGCCCCAGATCTATAATAATCAATGAGTTTAAAAGCGGTAGAGTTTGACTTGGCCTTCAATAAATTGTCTGAAATTCGTTTTGACATATTATAAGAACCACTTTTTGCTTATATATCATATAGGACCATATAGGATAAATTTGTAAACTGTTATCAAATAAAAAATCAGTCTTTTACCAAATCGTTCCAAGTAAAAGTTGGTTAACGGACTGCCTAGTGTCATCTAACAGTGGCTAGGAAAAACTTTTGCCGCTGAAACTGCTGAACTTCAGATAAATGCACTTTTCTAAATTTTTGAAAATGACTTGAATCTTGGATAAAAAGGTTTGAGTCTCAATTAAACGAGTGTAAAATAACTATAAAATATTGATCCAGATTAAGGTTAGCTTTAAAAATTATTATTTAAAATATTAAAGCAACTTAAACTAAAAATTCAAACATGAGTTATTTAATTTTTAATGTAGATTTACCACGTTGAAGTAGCAATAGTTAAACATTTGAATCTCTTACTCGACGTATTTATTTGCGCTGTTTGCGACTGATTAAAATAAAACAGTAATTCAAGAAATATCTTCTTCCACCTCTCTGTACAATCTATTCATACAAAATATATGTACATATAAATAAGTATACAATTTAAATTTTACATGTTATGTTTCATATCACATACAATATAACTAAACAAAATATATGTATATGTACAGTATATCTCTTACAGGAGTCACCAAACTTATTACTAATATTTAGTATGTTTAGAAACAATCGGTTCGTTTAACCGTAATCGGAGAAAATCTCATGCACGTCGCCGCGATATTTTTTTAACGACGCGATTAACATATTTCTAAAATTATTGAAAAAAAAATTACTACTGATTTTGACGGTTGAAAGATACTGAAAACATCCCCATTACACACTTCACCATGACACGGAAAGAAATACACGTAATTCCGATTGCTTCTCTATATGAATTCTATATCACCGTGTTTTACATGATGTACATTCAAAATCGTCAACAACTTAGCCATATATAATAACGTCGATGCAGAAATGTAAAACTGTATATACGTGAAATGTACAAAATATCTTCTCTGGCAGTCGTGTGTGTATGTATGTATGTATGTATGTATGTGTGTGGTGTGTGTATATGTATATATATTTTTATACACACACACACACACACACACACACACACACACACACACATTATATATGTATATAGTCATCATATTGTACTATGGAATTTATTACAAAATACAAATATAGGATTCGAGTTTTTGCGAACGATTAAATGCATATGGCCCGCGTATTCTTCTGTAGAAATAAACAAACTTATCAAATGTGCCTCATTAATCGTAGTGGAAACATTGAAATCATTGTATATTCATGAGAATTCCGGGAAATTGAGCCGGAAAAGCCGAGCAATCTTGATCATGATTGATTTATGAAAATGTACGCAACAATACCGCGGATACCGCTGGCATCAACCCAATCATATTCCCGTAACACCTTAATTCTATCTAAATTAAATATTACCTTTGACACATCCTCGGGTGCTTATTTTAAGCGTGAAACGTTTTCTTCTCTTTATTAGTTTATAGAATAAACAAACTTACCAAATGTAATTTATCGTAACGGAAACACTGGGACCGTCGTATGTTTATCAAAAACATTGAGGAAAAGAAAACGAGATAGAAATAGCCATGCACACGTTTACCGCACCGTTAGAAAAAAATATAAACATGTTCGAAACAAAATGATAAGATGTTAACAAGTATCACTGGAATTGTTATTCTAACAGTCTAGCTCTAAATTAAATGTCATCTTTAACACATTAACTGCCATCACGCTGATTTCCACAGATTATACTGAAGCATAAACGAAAATGATATTAAACAAAATTACAATAAATATACAGGATGTCTGAAACCTTTTTTTTAAACACCTTATAATATATTATGTAGCATATATAATAATATATATATAAATATATATATATATTATTTTATATATATATATATATATTTTATATTTTTTAATATATATATATATATATATTATATATATTATACGTAATATATATATATATATATATATAAATATTACATAGCACACATTTGTTAATTGGGAGCATTCGTTTCCTTTTGACTGTACATTTAATCGACAAGATGTGGCGGAATCATAGCACTGGCCACCGATAATCCCATGATAGCAGTCAACGTGTTAATGCGGTCACGCGCTTATTTCATAGAACACTTTCGCTTCTCGTCGCTTTCGAAACCGGAATCCAGATCATCACTTTGACACTTCTTCAGTGTGCAACCCTTGAGACTTTGCCTGCACACTCCTTGCTCCACCAATAATTTCCTAATGCTGTCTATCAAGTGCTCGAAGAAATTTGGATAACCGTCGTATCCAGGAAACACATTCACGTCTATGATTGCATATTTCCCAGTGTGATTCTCAATCACAACATCTACTCCGACTAGTGTGAGTCTGAATATCTCTTTGATACTTTTGACGATCGTCTGGAATACTTGATAATTTGGCTTCATGGTTAAAGGAATGTCTTCTTCGGACAGGATCGACCACTTGGACTTACTTCCACTTTTAGATATATCGTGTGAATCGAAGAATATTGTACTTAATGAGTTACAGTCTTCTTGATAAAAGTTCTTCAAGCTGGGCCGCTCTACAACATGAAAATGCTCACCCACAATAAACACCTTGTACAAAATAGCGTTGTGATTGACGAAGTCCTGAGCAACACAAGGTGGCTGACAGTCTTTCAAGTCCTTTTCGTTGAAGATGATCATCATCTAGAATCAGGCAGTATTGAGCAATGTTATCAAGTCTTAATTCTTTTGCACACAAATCTTATGCAAAGTAGCTATACCTTATGTGCATCGCTGAAGCCATATGCAATAAGTGGTTTACAAACAAATGGATATTTAATGCCATGTTTCTTCAAAGTTGATGATATTTCATGAACATTCCTGCTCTTAATTTCTACAAAGTTTGGAGTAAATATATCTGAAAAGGGATTGAGATTAATATATAGCATTTTTTTTCTTTCTTCGATGATACTGCATGATAAACTTACCATTAAAACTTTCTCTAATACCTTCTTGTATAAATTCATAAGATTTACACCGGTTACGTAAGTTCCTAGTATTGTCCAAAGGGTCAATAACAATCAGATCTGGGTGTTTAGCAATATATTCCTGGAGTCTCGACAATATACCTTCAGCCTGTAAGGAATATATTGTATAATTATTAATATCTTTTTTAAACTTATGGATATATCAGACAAACGTTCTTCCATACATTTTTATCACCATTTTCCGCACGCGATTGCGTGCTTGTTAGTTTGTGTAGAAAAACATGTAATGGTCCCTGCTTTTCAAGGCTTGAATTCACATCAACCTGAAATGGATGAAACTAGTAATTTATAGAGCATCACGAGAAATAAGTATATCGAGAAAATAGCGGAAACGTTTGCACACCAGCAAGAGAAAAAGAACGATCCGCGTCTAATTGACTACAGTGACATATAGATAAATTCAGAGGATCCGGTTACCCAAACATAACCTATCATATACGAGTGAAATTCAACGGGAAGATATTCCCGATTTTTTAACGCTCACCATTTTTAACTGAAATCCTTCGCTCTCGCAGACGTTCTCAAAATCGTTCCAATTAAATTTCTGTCGTTTCCTTTCGGACACCCAGTAACCGATGACATACTTGTCGCACATTTTTTCTCGAATTCGGTTTCGTTCGCCACGCCGTCACATCGATCGATTCGCAGGACACGGATCTATCTCGATCGTGTGTGCGACCCTCGTCCGAAAACCGGAGATCCACGATTCACCCTCTTCGTCTTCTTATCTCGCGTCACTGCTCAAACAATCCACCATAAACCGATTTTCATACTTGTGTAGCGTATACGGCAGGGCGACAAGGTTAGACACGCCGCATTCAAAAGTCACGTTTCGCGCGGCACCGACCTTGAAGAGCGGTCGATTGTTGTTCGTAACCTTCGAATTCTTCCTACATACAAAACAATCGTTTGTCCGTTGTCGCGACACACGATGTTTTTCAAAATAACACCGAATCTCACGTCCTTCGAAATACCGTTTAGATAATGCGTCTTGTCCTTTCTCACTCTCTCTCATTCTCTCACATTCCCACTCTCACTCTCTCTCTCTCTCTCTCTCTCACTCCCTCTCTTTTTCTCTCTCTCTCTCTCTCTCCCTCATATTCTCTCATTCTCTCTAACTTCTTGTTTTCTCTCACCAATTCCCACTGCCTAACCGCTAATTCACTGTTGTTTACATTTCGTCATGCGTCTGCTGCTTGAGTATATTCCCCATACGTTCACGTCGTATGATCTTTCTCTTGTCGCTCCAAGTAATTAGAAGAGGTATCTTTTGTTTCAGATCCAACAGAAGCCAAAAACTATTGGCGTAGCTCAGCCAATCGCGAGGTTGAGATTGGTTTACGCGGGAAACGCTCTGCCGCAGCGGCCGCCATATTGGCTGTGTTCCAATATTCAATGCCAGCACTGAAAATCTATAATATACGTGACACAAACTATGTATTTTCAGTACTGACAGTGAATTTTGGAACACAGCTATTGTTGGATACACTTTGAATCGGAACGGTCGCTTTTAAACAGAGAGAAAGCGGCCTGACAAACCCTGAAAGCAGCCAACACGGCATTTTCTGCGACACCGACTTTCCGCACTGGGAACGGACGCCATCTGCATCCATTTTGAGAAGGGAACTACGATGCTACATCCACTTTCAGGTCTCGGTGGCAAAAGCGGGAAGCACACACTCTTACATAAAGGCACAATGCACAACGCATAAGGAAATGGACGAATCAGAGTCTTTCATTTTAAGCGCGGCAATAAAAATGAGGATTCTGATTGATCTATATTTCCTTATGCGTTGTGCATTATGCCTTTGTGTAAGGAAGTGTGTGCTTCCCGCTAAAATCTACATGTGGTGGAAGTCCATGCTACATCCACTTTCAGGCGGTAAATAACGAGGCTTTTGAAACCCTAAAATTTTTATTTGAAACATTTTTTTCTAAAATGCTTAGTTTTTGTGACATTTCACTGTCCCGGTACTTTTTATACACCTTGTACCAGGTGTGGCGGTTAATAATTCTTAATTTTTTTAAGAGATGGCGCTGGAAACAAGGATTGGTTCACAGTCTAACCTCTTATGTCGTTTTATTGCTATGACAGTACCTTTCAAAACGCCATTGACTAAGTTTACACGGCAAGGTTAATTCGGATTAGTAACAACCGTAGTTAGTGAATTCTTTGATTCGATTGGTATATTCTTTTAGATCTAAAAATTTACTCTAATTGGATTCGAGACTGCACTAACTACGGTAGTTACTAACAAGGAGATGACGCAACCTGTTTCGTCGATTTCAACACGAGTCAATAGCACACTCGATAGCTATGATGCCGTGTATAAACGCCCTAACATAATATGCGTGAATGCGTCTTTGTTTACGAGTAATTTGCAAAGTTTGACTCGCGGAGCCGTGCCACACGTAGGGCGCAAGTTACGACACTCTTTTACGAAGCGGTGTGGCTGATTGTGAGCAGACAGAGGCTCCCGCGCCGCGAACACTTTTGCGCCGACGACGGCGAGAAACAAAAAAGGAATTATACATAAGAACAATATAAAAATATTTATTACATGTCTTTACATACGAAAAAAAAACGAACCAGTCGTCGGCGGGACTCGAACGCCGTCGTCGGCGCAAAAGTGTTCGCGGCGCGGGAGCCTCTGTCTGCTCACAATCAGCCACGCCGCTTCGTGAAAGAGTGTCGTAACTTGCGCCCTATGTGCGGCACGGCTCCGCGAGACAAACTTTAACTGCAAATTACTCGTAAACAAAGACGCATTCACGCATATTATGTTAGGGCGTTTATACACGGCATCATAGCTATCGAGTGTGCTATGACTCGTGTTGAAATCGATGAAACAGGTTGCGTCATCTCCTTGTAAGCCGAAGTTAGAAGCCGTGTAAACGTAGTCATTGATGTTTAAACGATTTCGGGTTAGCGTCACATTTTTTTCGTGTGGTAAACATGTCGAGTTTCAAACCAAATAAAGAGCATTTGCGGCATGTACTGCTTTTCTTGTTCAATCAAAAGAAAAACGCGAGTGAAAGTCGTCGTATACTTGTGGAAACTTACGGTTTCCTTCAAATGATCATAGCCAAGCAAACCAACCAATTACCGGCCGTCACTGCCTATTTTCTTAATTGTGAACAGTTCTCAACTGTGATTGGTTGGTTCGCTTGCTGCTCATGTCGTACTTTTTGTAAATATTTCTATGTATTTCCAGCCTATATTTTTACGCGCTTCTAGTCTATTGTTTTGAGTTTCTCATGCATTGTATACCTTTTCGTGGCTTAGTTTTACGTTACATTTACAGAAATATTTCAATAGTTGAAATATTTATTTGAAATTGGGCTCTTACTATCATGCCGTTAATTAAGTAATATGCATCGTGTAAAGCTCGGATCTGTATAAAATGTATTAAATCTTTTCACATAGACTTAAACTTGGTTAGGATATGACATTATAATGCAGGAACAATGCATTTAATTAAAAAAAAGATATATGTATTTTATTGTTGTAATCTTACATTTAATCGTTAACTGACACGACTCACAATGGCAACATCGTCTGTGACGTCCTTCCCTTTGCAAACAGATATAACAAAATCCGTATTTCCGTAATTTCGATAATACAATCGTGTTTGAATTTTTAACAAATGCCACGTATTAAACGATATCTCTTGAATGTAGAATTTTTTTACTATATTGATTAAATATTAAAGTTGTTGAAGTTATAATACGCGAGAGATACTCAAAATTAGAACATGGATATAAACTGACGGATTTTATCGTACTGAGAGAAATATGCGAGCGATCTTGCGAATTATATTAAAATATGTGCGATACTTTCCGGTGTAGTCTACAACAAAAGATAAAATTTTCAATATATCGTAACAGTCTTTCTTTCTCTCCCCTTGTTATTTTCTTTTTCGCACACTTACCGAAGAATCATTTAAAGATGTTAACATACTCCTAGTAACGAGAATCGTTACGCTACTATCGTGTTCAATTGTGCTGTCCGCGATTAAATCGTCTTTTTCTAAGATCCTCACTTCCCCAAGAGAATAGGAACATGAACTCGGCATGTACAATTCACCCTCAGAATGAGACATTTCGGAAGAGATCGCAAGCTGAAAAGTGCAAATCAGATTGATATTAAAATCATTAAAACGGTAGAAAGTGATCGGTTTGTAATTTTTTCAGAAAAATGACAGAAATCTACGGCGACACATTGTATATTTCTAATAAATTTTAAATGAAATTGAGAAAAAGTCATCATTTTTCCCTTATACTATTACGTCTTTTAAAAATCTGTCATTTGGAGATTTCCAAGATGTAAATGATTAAATTGGTCATATCGTGTAAGTTTTGCAAGTGCTACATAGATCACAGCAATCATCATTAGATATCGATGAACTAGTTATTATCTAATTTTAATTGTCACAATCACATATAGTCAATAAAATCTTTCAAAGGTATGAACAAACACAGAAAAAATTAAACGCATATTCCCATTGCAATAATTAGCACGAGATACGTGCGTTTTCGCGCAAAATAAAAGATCAAATACTAATCAAATACCAATTTCATTCAGCTGTGACAATTAAAATTCAATAATATTAATTAGTTTGTATCACCAAATTGCTGCACTCTATGCGGTACTTACGTGACCAGAAAACAATATCAGCTCTAAATTATCGATAACAGATAAGCGATATCATTACGCTTACACATAATATTACAAGCCTGAGCACGCGAAATTTACATGATGATAATCGTCAATTTTTATCGTCCTTATTTCGTAAAACATTGTGTTTGCTTACTCTTTTTGTATTGTCGCTAAACGTCCCGTTGTTGGACCTAGAAGCAAAAGATCACTGCAATTATTAATGAATCAATTATTATAACTTAGAAACTACGTACAATTAGATCATCGGTAATTTAATATAATTTAATTATTAACAATAATTTAATTTAATCGTCAACGACAATTCCAGGAATGTTGTTACACTCACTCGCTATTGTGATTCAATATTGTACTGCTGGTATTCGAGCCAGAGCTGGATAGGCTTTTCAGTGATATCGAGGCAATCGGCTTCCTTTCAAAAAATTGCTCCTTATTACTGCCGTCCCTCGCGCTCCCCGGAAGTGTCGAATCTTCATTTCTGTTCTGGAGATTTTTCACCGTCCCGTTTGTCACTGGCTCGCCACGAACGTCGACGACCTTGTTGCTTGTCTCCGTCGAATTGTCCTCGGTCACGGCGTCCAAAGAGGTCCTTTTACCGCGCAACTGAGTCTCCTTTGAGGGCGACTCGTTGCTCTGCGCGCTCGACAACGAGCGCAACGAGATGCAGTCTCGCAGAGAATCAGCCGAGCACGAATTCGCGGGGCTGATCCTGTCGTTCTCCACGACTACGGGTCTCGCTCGAGAATTATCGATGTCCTTTTCGCTCAGTGGACACGGAGGCTCGATCAACGAGCGTGCGAGATCCTTCTTCGCCAAGGTCTCGTCGACAATCCTCGATCTATCCATGCCCGATCGCGTTTGTTCGTCCTTTTTCACTGAAGCATCCGAGATTGGAGTTGATATCTTCTTAGTCTTCAAGGAGGTGCTATCGTTCGTTATTTCCTCGGCTGTACTCTTCTTTTCATCTTTTTCCTTGTTTCCTTTTTCCTTTACAGTGACAAGTATGTCACTTGGAACATTCAAAAGTGCTTCGCTCGCCCGATCTGGAGTCGCTTGTGCAACACTTCCTTTCGTAACTTGATCGCTAAGAACAGGGTCCTTGTCATCCCTCGCTTCATCAGACTTGAATTTGCACTCTTCATCATTCGTATCACTTTCTTTATTCTGAATCGCGCTCAACGTGTCGGGATCATCCGCTTTCGTATCATGATTTGTTTGAGACTTCATGGATATGGTCCTCGCGGACGAAAGACGAGAATTCTCTTTAGGATTCTCCGCCTTGTCATCCCTCACTTCATCAAACTTAAATTTGCGCCTTTCATCATTTGTATTACTTTCTTTATCCTGAATCGTGCTCAACGTGTCGGGACCATCGGCTTTGGTCTCATGATTTACTTGAGACCTCGTGGATATGGTCCTCGCGGACGAAAGACGAGAATTCTCTTTAGAATTCGCCGCCTCATCGCTGAGGATGTCGGAGATCCTCTTTAACAACTCTGAGCGCGAAGATGTCTTCGACATGTCTTCCTTCGCAACTTCGCCATCTTCATCGTCTTCGACGACTTCATTGGTTCGATTCTTAACACTAATCAGGATATCCTTCAGAACATTCGAAGTCTCTGTACGACGCGTCGCTCCGTCGCTGACCGGGTCAGCTTCCTGCAGAAGAACGAGAAGCTTCTCCACCATCGTGGGCGTGATCGCGGATACGTTTAAGGCTTTCGCGATTTTACCTTCGATACTGTGTTTCTCATCCTGCAAGATATAAGCGACGAACCGATCCGTAGTTTCGTCCTGAAGACCTCGGAGAATCCGCACGAAGACGTCGTTGATGTTGTGCCTCTCGTTCATTTGTTGATCCGCGATTTTATTCGCGGGATTCTCGGAACGATTCGCGACCGCATAGCGGTCCTCGGAGGTGCTTCGCTGAGCCTGAGCGATCTCGATCTGCTCCTGCTGAGGATGATTCGTCTGCGTGTCGGTACAATGCGTGCTGGACAATGCAGGAAGTAAGTTGGAGAACGTCGTGACGTCCGACTTGTCTATCGACGACTCCAATAAGCGCGCCTTTCTCTTCGGCCGTTGACTTTCGTCCTCGGCATTCCTAGACATCCTAGAACCGTCGCTTATGGTTGGCGTACGTCGGTCTGTTGAACCTGGGGAGTTGCCCGAACGATCGTCGCGACGAAGAACGTCTCTCCTCGCGAAGCTTGACGATCTCGTCGTCGTTGCGGCCGCGAAGGTCTTTTGGGATCCTACACCGGAAACTGAGCGCGTCTCTGACGTGCTCGAGGCGCTCAGAACCTGGTTCTTCGGGGTAGTGTCAAAAGAGTTGACGGGCGAACTCGTCAACTTGGCCAACTTGTGATCTCGATCGGCCGGCGATTCGACAATCGACGGTTTCTGGCAACCCACGTGTCGCGACTCTCGTCCTCCTTCCTCAAGCTTGTATCTCGTGAACTGAGGCTTTGACAATAGCTCCGAGAAAGTCTGAGCAACGCGAATGGCACGCTCGATTTTCTTCTCGTTGGACAGAATGATCGAGTCTAATTCGTCGAAACGCGGCCGATACAGCTCAATCTCGTTCGCGTCGTCCTTTGCTTGAAAGTCATCCGAAGACAAATGTGAGCGACGTATCTCCTCGGCGACGTCGCACGGTTCATCCGGCCCGCCGTGACTGTTGAACGTGTTCGAAAGATACTCATCAATCGTTCGATATTGTTTCAGACTCGTTGTCGTTCGGCAGAGCCGGGCGATATTTTCACGCCGGAGAAAACTCGTTTGCCTTGAAACGTCAACCGAGGCGAGCGGCGGCCTTGATTGATCGTCTCGGTTTTTCGCTGGGATTTTATCGACGACATTCTCTTCGTTTTGCGGCCGAGCCGGACTGTCGACGCCGTTCTTTTTACTGAATATTTCTCCCGTCGATTTTCCCGTACAATGGTGCTCTGCATTATTACCGGAGCTCACTTCAACCTGGAGTACATTAACAGGCTCTGGACTTTCAACTGGAACTTTATCACTCGTTTCTTTTTCTTCGTCTGTTAAGCTTTCCGGGCTTTTAAGTGTTTTCGCATTTTCAGCGTCTTGCAAACAGACCTCTTCGGCCCTCCTCTCTTCCTCGTGAACGCTATTTTGAGCCGGCGATGTAGACGCCTCAGCGAACTCGTTTCTCTGCTCGTAATCAGAATCCTTGTCGTCTACAACGACTCGAATATCCTCTCCCAGCTTTCTCGAAGCACTCGCCGTTTCGACTACAGTTTCCGTCACAATCAATCTCTCACGTTTCTCCCTCGAAGATGTGCCTAATCTCGCGCGACGTCGCACTCTCGACGGTTCGTTTCTCCTGTTGTCCGCAGCCGCTTGACTTCCTTCAGCGTTGCTTTCGTGACGTAGAACGTAAACGGCTGCGTTCACGCGTTTGCGAGCCGGCGACGGTCCCGGCGATATGTGCACGTCCTCCAGGTCCTGTCTCGTGAGTTCCCGGCTGACGTGCACCGTCGGTCCTATCTGGATTCTGCACGCGCCGCCATCATCTGCACGAATAAGCCCGAATCGGGTCGCTGACGACACTCGTTGACCATTGCAAGTTGTCTGACAGTCGTGCGCCGTCGCCTCCTCGTCGTCCTTCGACGACGAAACCTTCGATGCTCCCGAAAGCGATGCACGTCCTCGTGACCGCTGCTCGTCTGTTCCGCGCTCGAGGGACGCGCGAGAGGTGGCACGTAGGCGCTGCAACGTTCGAAATTTAGGAGCCGACAAATCGACTCTCCGTGAGGTGACTCTTCGCGCGTTTTCCTCGTCGGTCGTCGCTTCGGGTCTCTCGGGATAGCCCGTCTCTTGAAACTTGGAGGCGACCAACTCGCGGATGTACAGCAGCTCCTCGACGTCGTCATCCAACGGTGGATCATCCACGTCCCTGGATGTGTGTGCATTATGTTAGCGGACAATTCCGGAGAAAGGGAATCTTGCATAATTTTAGATAGATATACAGTTAGTTAGATGAATGTTACACATTATTATTTTCTACTTATCATCTGTACTGTGAAAATACGCTCGGTACTTATGACCTTAGTTGGCATAATGAAATTATAGGAGAAGGTAAAAATTATAGGAGAAAATTGTAGGGAAAGTTAACAAACCTGTGTGAGTGTCAATATCGATTTATCGTTACGAGCAAATAATTGACTCGTCATTAAGAAAGATTTAATATTACTCGCGACATACTAGTATTTTATAAAATATTCAGTCTGCTAAAAACATAATTGAAGACGGAAGAGGTACTAATATTTCTTTTAAAAAATAATTAATTTAATAAATGATTTTAGCGACATTTATTTCCTCTCGATATAGACGATCCTTTTTACTCACCTGTCTCTGTCACGCCGCGCAGAATCGAAGCTGGAGACTACACGAACCTCCGCGAGTTGTATCTTGGCGTCATTGATGATCCTCTCGGCGTTCTCGAGCGCGGTCGATGTCTCGGGACTCAAGACCGGATCGCAAGCTCGCGCTTCGATCGATCCACTTGCGTCAGGCTGCGATTGACGAAAAATGACACGTCACTCACCGTAAAAATACACATCAACGCGAACCGACAGAAGAAAAAGAGGCAATTCCACGTTCGATACCTTTCTCTCGCCGACGACAATGCTCCTCGCTCTTTCGGAAGATCTTGCGCTGCTGCTGGGCTTGACGGTCGATTTTTTGGACGCGACGGTTGCGATCGGACGACGATTCTCGCTACGCACTCCGGTATCGTTATCTACCTCGCGAAGCACACATCCCTCTTGTTTGCAGTAGCACGTGCGAGCGGAAGTCATCTCTCCACGCGACGTCGCCGAGCAAACTCGCCCGTTACACGACTCCGAAGAATTCGAACTCTCTCTGCAACGAAAAGAAAAGGGTCGTGTGAGGGACGTTGCGCCCTTCTCTCTCTCTCTCTCTCTCTCTCTCTCTCCCCCTCCCCCCCTTTCCTTCTCTTTCTCTCAATACATTGACTAACCACGTGTCGCATGATGATAAAGCATTAATTGAGCACAAGAAAACTGAAGTCGCGGTTTTTTTTTTCAGGAACTTGGTCAACATGTTGACACGTTGTCACCGGCATCGGTCATTGATAATGATAGCACAGCGTCTCATTAAGTTACGTGTGGTAACCTAACTATAATTATAGATTGATACGTTGTCGTGACTAAAGGCGACGCGTTAATTGCTCTATCGAGAGATCTCGACGTGAAATCTCACGTCGAACGATCGAAGCGACAAGGATAATGTCGTGTGTCATTGGATGTTCACACGATTCTCGCCGTGTCACGTTTCCTTTCGTGAGCAAAAGGTGATGCAATAAATATGCACACGCTCGCGCATAACAATGTGCCGTGCGTCGCGTATCGGCGCAACGAGGAACATCGAATACTAAATAACTGTGGCACAGCCACGACGATGCGACCTAACAATGTTCGTGTCATCGCGCGCTTTAAAATATGCATTAATCGACGAGCCGCGCGCCGGCTCGTGTCCTTGGACGCGCACGTGGCGTTTAGTCCCAATTATACCGGACGTATGATAATGCGCGAATACGATTAAAAAGTATTCCTCGCGGATCATCACAGGTGCACATCAGCACAAGTGCGTGCGCATCACGCGTGGCGTTTGCCCGTGACGAGTCGTAGAGAGAGAGAGAGAGAGAGAGAGAGAGAGAGAGAGAAAGAGAGAGAGAGAGAGCGAGCGAGCTTCTCGACAACGATCGGCTGCCCGGCGGACTTAATGAAGTTATCGAAGCTTTGCGAAAGCGAATCGAGTCGCCGATGATCTCGTCGATAATTTCAAGTGGACTTGGGGAAAATTTTAATTTACTCGCAAAGAATACGTTACGCAACGAGCTGAAAAATTATCCTAAGTAATGACCTCTTTCGATGACATTCTCGATGACGAAAAATTGCTTCCAATTTACCGAGAAAATCTCAAGAAAAAAGAACAAACATCGCGCACTGCGAGACACTATGCGAAGATATAGTACATTTTAATACATGATAAATGCAATATCTAAAGATCAGCCAAACTCACCTGAAACGATCGAAAAATAATCGCAAAGATTACCTGGGAAAGCGGAGAAGTGCTGTCGGATAACAAAGGCGAACGCTTCGATCGAAGGCGTTATGCACCGCGTCGTGTTTTACCAATAGAAAGAAACGCGGCTGAAAATCCGACGCGTTTCCGCGCACGTCCAATAAGTCGAATCGAATCGAATGGAAGGAGCTACAAACTCATACGAAGCGAGAGAGAGAGAGAGAGAGAGAGAGAGGCGTTGGCGTTACGTCGGTGCGAAACCGGGTTCAGAGACCGACGATAATAAAGCTCCCGGAGTCTCTTGGTTGAGAGGCGGAGACGGGGGTGGTTGATGGTGGTGGTCGCCCATCTATTCACCCTCTCTCCTCTGCTCCCTTCTCACTCACTCTGTCTCTCTCTCTCTCTCTCTCTCTCTCTCACTCTCGTTCCGTTCTCTTTCTCGACTTGCACTGAAAATCAAGCCGTCGTAGCGGCGTTTGCGTTCACAGCCACGTCGTCGAACCTTCCGCGATCCCGGCCGGCTGCAACCAACGGAGTCTCTATAGGCAATGGTATCGATCCTTAAAGGGGACACCCCGTACTGCGTGCGGCCAGCTGCAAGCAGAAACCGTTTCCCGTCGCGTCACCCGCGCGCGCGTGCAACGCTGTTAATTAATCCTTAATTAATCGTGGAGTCGCGACGGGCCCGCGCGAAATTCCACATACGAGCGCGGCGCGCGAAAAATGCGTCCAAGTGAAATAGAGTTATAAATATGCAAATCTCCGCTTCTCTCTCTCTCTCTCTCTCTCTCTCTCTCTCTCTCTCTCTCTCTCTTCTCTCGACGAGATCTCGATTCGCTGTCGAAATCGAGCAGCGCGACCACCGCGTACAAGAGAGCATCAGTTTCTAATTTAGCGACTTATAAATATGCAAGCGCCTCGCCGGATGAATCGCGCGAGGAGCGCAAAACCGGATTAAAGAGATCGCGCACACTGCCGTCAACGGTATCAACGAAAATCCTGGCGAATTTCACTACGACGACGCGACGTACCCTTGTACGCGCGGGCATCTCTTCTCCTCTTCCCCTCCAGTCCCCGGCACCGCGGTTCGTCGCGCCTGACCTGTGAATAATTTGCCGACGCTTTTTGCCGCGCAGATTAACTCGCGCGTTACGCACGGATCACCGTTCTCGCGTGTCTCAGCATGCGTCATCGCACGACGGGGCGCGGCGAGGGGAAAGCGGTGGCGGCAGCGGCATCTGAAAACGCATCCACGGGGAAAACAATCGTCGGGATTGGCCTCCTTCAAAGAAAATGTCGCGTGCGCGCGCTGCGTAATAAAATGAATTAGCGTCGCATGCCGTGGCCGATGGCACAGAGGGCGAGAAGAGGAGAGACGAGGAGGGAAGCGACGCTAATTTAGCGAAAAGCCGATCGACGTCGGATGACGTCAACGATTCTCCGCTAAGCGGCCAAGGAGCTCGCCGCTTTAACGCGTGCGCTCCCTCGTCCGCTAAGCGTGATCAATAACGGTACGTCAAAGGTACGTAATGCGTCGACGTCCTTTAAAGACGATGGACCGTTCAGCCGAGCGTCGTCGGTCCTTCTCTCCTCGCGATCGTTCGTCGTCGTCGTCGTCGCGTCGACGATCGCGACGGAAGTCCTTACGTAATTGGAACGAACGGAACGTTACCGGGAGAGAAATCCGCGCGCGTGTTCCGATATTGCAATTCCATCTCGGTGCGACACCGTCGTCGTCGTCGTCGTCGTCGTTGTCGGCGGCGGCGGCGGCGGCGGCGGCGGAGGCGGCGGCGGCGGCGGCGGAGGCGACGGCGGTGAGCGTTAGTCACTACGGCTGTAATTTACGCGACGCGCTATCGCGACTTTCGTCACCCTGTTACGGCGGTCGCCGAGAGCTATCGCATAATAACGGTCTTTATGCAGTAACGGTCGAGAATGTTGACCCTTAAAGGCGAAAGATGGTTCCGCGATGACAAGAACTGGCCGCCCGCGGCCGAAACTTACCGCGTGGTGAGCAGAGGTTCGTCCTTCTTAATTCAAGCAATTTAATTTGCACAAAATGCAACCCGCTTCGGCTAAGAGGAAACGTTAGATTTGACTTTATTGCAGAGAAGAACCACGGAAAAAGTGTCGTTGCGAATTCATTCAATGCGCGCGGGTGACACTCGTAACGAGAGGAAGAAAAAGAGTAAAGACAAACAGGATAATTATCGGTGTGTGTGTGTGTGTGTGTGTGTCGGATGTTATCGGACATCTCGTCATCGCGGAGTGACCGCGATGTATAGTTGTGACGGGTATACACTGTAATGCGACGTCGATACACAATAGAGTTTCACATGAACGTCGCGGCACACTCTTGTATATTGAATCAGGGGGGGAAGGATAAAAATTGCACTCTGCGATTAATAAAAAAAAAAGAAAAACAGCGCGATTGATCTTCGCAGCGATACTCGCAGAAAATAGTCTAAATTCGAACTCGCGGAGAATTCTTCCCGCGAGAATGGATTCTCGCGAATCTCCTCGCTTCATCGTCCTCATCGGATAAAATAAAGCCGTCCTTTCAATTTCATCGATTTCGATGATACAATTGTTCCGCTGAATAATCACCTAACTACCGCACTGGATTCGCATTGATTGCACAAAAGTCCGAGCGGCGAGTGAATTATCAAAAATGCGGCGAATAGATGTAATTCGAGATACATATTTGCATCTCTTATTTGATTCCATTGGCTCTTCCACCGGCCGATTCTGCGGTAATTAATCGCACATAATTAATTACACCTCGCACCGGCGAGAGCCAGCGCGGCGTTCAACGCGTTAATTCGCGGTCGCGAGCGAAAGATGACAAAGTAAATCGGTCTGGCGCGCACGACCAGATAAACACCTCAAAAACGAGAGAGAGAGAGAGAGAGAGAGAGAGAGAGAGAGAGAGAGAGAGAGAGAGAGAGAGAGAGAGGAATTAAGAGAAAGAGAAAACCGAGGATGTCGCCTCGAGGCGGCTGCTCCTGTTTTGAGCAATCCAATTTCGCGGAAACGACTCGAGCGAGACGTGCTCCACCTAATTACGTGTCATCCGGCGGCGGGGGATCGATTTCGTTTCACCAGCCGGCGCTCGACACGCCGCTGTGTGACGTGTATCGAGAGCACTGAATAATAGATCCGCCTCATCCGCTTTAAGCGCGCGGATGGTGCACGATTCGAGTCGTCTGGAACGTGCAGATCAATATTCCGCCACGTTGCGTTTCTCTCTCTCTCTCTCTCTCTTCCCCGTTCTCCCTCCTTCACCACCGCCACCACCTGCCCCTCTTCCTCTTCTCGCCGTTCTGCACCACCTCCCTGGCCCTACTATCCTAGCTGAATATTGGCATTGATTTTCACGGTTCGGGAAGGCTCGTGGCCGTCCCCTCCCGACTGCGGAGGTCCCGGACGAAACAGTCGGGTCTAAGGTCGCTGTATACATATGTACCTTTCGAGGTGTGTACGTGATGCACCGCTGGAGGAGGTGGAGGAGGAGCAGGGGGAGACGGTGGAGGGTCAATTTTCGCGATAGCGTGTCTCAGGTACGATAAACGCTCGAGTCACGTGTAGCGCACGGCAGAGAGAGAGAGAGAG